ACAATTGCACTCATTTCACACGCTAGCAAGGTTATGCTCAAAATCGTACAAGGTAGGCTTCAGCAGTGCGTGGACCGAGAACTCCTAGAAGTATAAGCTGGATTTCAAAGGGGCAGACGAACTAGAGACCAAATTGCTAACATGAGCTGGATTATGGCGAAAGCCAGAGAATTCCAGAAAAACATCTACTTCTGCTTCATTGACTATGTAAAAGCCTTTGACTGTGTCGACCACAGCAAACTTAAAGGAGTGCCTGACCACCTTATCTATCTCCTGAGAAATCTCTATGTGGGACAGGAAGCAACAGTTAGAACTGAATATGGAACAACTGATTGGTTCAAAATTGGGAAAGGAGTACGACAAGGCTGTATATTGTCTCCCTGCTTATTTAACTTATATGCAGAATACATCATGCAAAAGGCTGGACTGGAAGAATCCCAAACCGGAATTAAGATTGCCGGAAGAAATATCAACAACCTCCGACATGCAGATGACACCACTCTGATGGCAGAAAGTGAGGAGGAATTAAAGAACCTCATTAAGGGTGAAAGAGGAGAGCGCAAAAAATGGTCTGAAGCTCAACATCAAAAAAACCACGATCATGGCCACTGGCCCCATCACCTCCTGGGAAATAGAAGGGGAAGATATGGAGGCAGTGACAGATTTTACTTTCGTGGGCTCCCTGATCACTGCAAATGGAGACAGCAGCCACAAAATTAAAAGACGCCTGCTTCTTGGGAGGAAAGCAATGACAAACCTTGACAGCATTTTAAAAAGCAGAGACATCACCTTGCCAACAGAGGTCTGCATAGTCAAAGCTATGGTTTTTCCAGTAGCGATGTATGGAAGTGAGAGCTGGTCCATAAAGAAAGCTGACGGCCAAAGAATTGATGCCTTTGAATTGTGGTGCTGGAGGAGACTCTTGAGAGTCCCCTGGACTGCAAGGAGAACAAACCTATCCATTCTGAAGGAAATCAACCCCGAGTACGCACTGGAATGAGAGACCCTGTAGCTGAGGCTCAATCCTTTGGCCATCTCATGAGAAGAGAAGACTCCCTGGAAAAGACCCTGACGTTGGGAAAGTGTGAAGGCAAGAGGAGAAGGGGATGACAGAGGACGAGATGGGTGGACAGTGTCATTGAAGCAATCATCATGAATTTGACCCAACTCCGGGAGGCAGTGGAAGACAGGAGGGCCTGGCGTGTTCTGGTCCATGGGGTCACAAAGAGGCAGACACGACTTAAGGACTAAACAACAAGCACCCGGGAATTAGAAGCAAACAGGACATACTCTCTGCAGACACCCAGTATTAAAGAAGATAACGTGAGGTTGCACTTTTTTCTCAGTACATCATTCCCACTTGACTTACTTAGTTGGAAGTGGGGTAGGTGCAGTCAGCTGGTGTAAAAAACCGGCTGAGTTCTGAATTCAGAACCTGTCTGCCTCTTGTCTCTAGCTTCAGTTCTCCTTTGGTAGGCAATGAAGAGCAAAGGCATAAGGCACTTCAGAGGCTGCCTGAGGGCAGCCTTGGTATTTAGACAGTTCTCTGAGTACCAGTTGGTAGCTGAGTGAGGAGGTGAGAAAGACCCTCCTCCATGTACAGAGCAACAGCTGCCAAGGAGTTAACTGCATGTGTTGCAACAGGGCGGTACAGCAAAGGCGGCAATAGGAAAAGGATGCAATCAACTTCTCTAGACTTTAGAGGAAGTGCTTGCACTACAAGCCTGCTCGGAGGAAGGAGGCATTAATACTTTGCCTTTCCACACAAGGGGAGGCACACGAAGAAGAACTCTGGCAGATCTGCATAAATCATGGTAAGTTTTGTGGCTTTCTGAGTATGTAGCAAATCCAATGGACTAAGGCTGAAGAATGAAGTAGCACTTGGCCTTGAGCTCCTTTTGCAAAATACTCGTACCCTTGGCAATGCAATACAGCAATGTTTGTGAGAATGCTTTTCTCCACAAGTAACTACAGATGACCATGGTTTCAATGGAGAAATGGTTTGGAGCATGGTATAGACTAAGCAACCTCGAATCTTCCAACTACTTTGAGCTACAATTCCCAAATCAGCATGGAAGCCGTATTCCAGGTTTCATCTGAAGTGTGCAGGTTGTCTATCCCCGGCTTAGAGGCATTCTGTTGTAAAATGAGTGAGTTTATGCTGCTGTGAATACAAACATGGAATGTTGGGAGCGGGACTAAGAATGGTACTTGGAAGTGACTGCTGTGGATTGTGGTGGGATTAAGTTGAGCATTGGCTTGTATGTCCCAGAGCATTCGGATTTAGGTCAACTGAGGGACTCCCTATTGAGCTTTCGTGGATTTTAATTTAAAAAAAAGCTCTTGCAACTATGGAAATGCATGTGTCTTCAGCTCCAGGTAATACTGACAATCCTGCTCAGGTATCTAATGAATGATTTGGAAAAATAATGGAAAAATCATGTTTGCATAATTAGGCTCCAGAATGTCTCGTTTGATTTTGCTCCTTTGTTGTTGGCCAACTTGTGCAGATTGCATGAAGTTTAAAATGGCAGTCTGACCTCTTAGAAAGCTAACTACTGTACAATCAATGTTTTAAACCAGAGTGGGTTAAATTATTGTTGAATTACAACTCTCAGCATTCCCCTCTATCGGCTCTGCTGGCTACATTTCAGCATCATCTGGAGGGCCCAACTTTACACACCACAGCTTTAAGAAATTTGTGCGGCAAATTGCTCAGATCCGCTCTGACTTGGATGCTGTAGCTAATAGAGGTCTTGTGGATGTTAACTATGACTTCTGCTTTTCCACTTTGCAGGCAGAATTGCTCAGATCTGCTTTGACTTGGATGCTGCAGCTAATAGAGGTCCTGTGGATGTAACTATGACTTCGGCTTTTCTAGTGTTGATGGACAAGTTTCAGATTTTGCAGCTTGATAACGTGGACAGGACCCTTGGAGAGGGAGGTGAAGGGTACCACTTGTCACTTGGACCCATGCCCTTCCTGGCTTATCAAGGCTGCCAGAGTGAAATAGGCTGTGTGGGTCCAAGGGCTAGTGAATGCCTCCTTGCAGTGGGGTAGCATCCCAGCATGTTTAAAGGAGGCAGTAATAAGACCATTACTGTATTGAAAAAGCTCTTCTTGAACCCCAAAGTATTGGATAAATAACAGCCAGTCTCTGATATCTCATTCTTGGGCAAGGTGCTGGAGCAGGTTGTGGCTTCTTGGCTCCAGGGGTTCCTGGATGAGACGGATTATCTAGATGCATTTCAATCTGGCTTCGGCCTGTTTATGGGATGGAGACTGCTTTGGTTACTTTGGTAGACGACCTACGCCAGGAACTGGACAGGGGTGTGTCCCTGTTGGTTCTGCTGGACCTCTCAGCAGCTTTTGACACCATCATCCATGGTATCCTTCTGGGCCATCTTTCTGGGATGGGACTTGGAAGCACAGTTTACAATGGCTCCAGTCCTTCCTGGAAGGGAGAACACAGAATGTGGTGCTGGGGGACTCTTGTTTAACACCCTGGCAACTGGCGGCCTGTTTATGGGATGGAGACTGCTTTGGTTACTTTGGTGGACGACCTACGCCAGGAACTGGATAGGGGTGTGTCCCTTTTGGTTCTGTTGGACCTCTCAGCAGCTTTTAACACCATCATCCATGGTATCCTTCTGGGCCATCTTTCTGGGATGGGACTTGGAACACAGTTTTACACTGGCTCCAGTCCTTTGTGGAGGGAAGAATCCAGCAAGTGGTGCTGGGGGACTCCTGTTCGACACCCTGGCCACTGGCTTGTGATGTCCCTCAGGGATCTGTTTGTCCTCTATGCCAGTGGTCCCAAAACTTTTCTAAACGACGGACCAGTTGGGGGGTCTGTGCATGGGGGCACCCCTGCTCATGGGTGGGTGGGCAGGAGGTGCTCATGGGTGGGTGGGGTCTGCTCACATGCATGTGTGGATGGATGGGGTGTGCATGGGGATGGGCCAGGTATCTGTGTGCGCATGCGCAGGTGGATGGGGCACCCGTGCATGCTGTTGGGTGGGCTGTGCATGCGTGGGCGGCATGCATGTGTGGGGGTGTGAGATCTGTCTTTGAGGCCTGGTCCTGCCAAGGCCACGGACCGGAGGCTGGGGACCCCTGCTCTATGCTATTTAACTTCTACATGAAAGGGTCTTCTCTGTTGCTGCTCCCAGACTCTGGTATTCCCTCACATGGGAAGCTAGGCTGGTCCCATCATCGCTGTCCTTCCACAAGCAGGCAAAGACCTTTCTCTTCAGGCAGGCTTTCCCTTAATAACTGGTGGTCTGAGAGGGTTTTTAAAATGGATTGTTGTGTTCTGTTGTTTTAAATGTGTTTCATTATTGATTTTATTACTGTTTTTAATGTAATACTTGTTTAATTCTTTTAAAATAATTGTATACCTACTGTTTTTTCGGTTTTAAATATTGTCTTTTTAAAGATGTAAGCCACCTTGGGTTCTTTTTAAGGAGAAAGGAAGGATAGAAAGAAAGAAAGAAAGAAAGAAAGAAAGAAAGAAAGAAAGAAAGAAAGAAAGAAAGAGAGAAAGAGAGAGAAAGAGAGAGAGAAAGAGAGAAGGAAAGAAAGAAGGAAAGAAAGATGTGGATTAAGGTTTTCTAGGAACTTAGGTGAGATACGTTTTCAAACGTTTGTAATGAATCAACACCATGGTTGAACTCCCGTTGTACTGTGTTGTTCAGTTTTGCCACCTGCTCCTTCCCTGACTTCTTGAGAGACGTCTCGTGGTAGCAAGTACGTACAGTAGAAACATCCTATATGGCCATATTCCTCAGACTCGTCTCATGACCCACCAGACAGAGCCAAACGCTCCCCATCAGGAGCTAGGTGGCTTCCTCCACACTTACCAGCTAGGCTCTATCATTCTAAACCCTTCCAAGCCTTGTTCACTGGCTGGGTGACACAACCTCTTTGTTCCCAAGCTCTCACCTCTGGCTCGGTACATCTAGTGACAGACGGCTGCCTCTTCCTTTCCTTTTTGTCCATTTATACTGTTACCTATCTCCAATATGACGACACCTGGTCTCAGGTTCACAAACACTTTTCAGGCTGCATTCAAAACTAAGCCCCGCTGAACACAGTGGGATTTATTTCTGCAGATATACATGGGATTATACCTGTTGTCTCTCAGGACTTCGAGGGGAAGGTTTACAAATTCTGTTCAAACTGAAGTTACAGTATTTTTCTGATCACTATTAGTTACATTGGGGGAGAGCTGATCTGCTTAATTCATCTACTGGAGTGAATGGGAATGAGAGCCATAATAGACAAGACGTTACTGATAAAATGTGCAATTTTTGAAAAACAAATAGCTTCACAAGCAAAATCAGTACACTGGCCTAGGGATGGACTTTCATCTCATTGACTCAGAAGAGTCCCACCTCTGGTGATTCCCAGTCCCCATAGCCTCCCACTTGCTTTTTCAAAAAATTTAAATTATCTTTCATTGTATAAATGTTGTTATATCTTGTTATATCTTCCCACCTCTGGTGATTCCCAGTCCCCATACCCTCCCATTGGCTTTTTCAAAAAATTTTAATTATTTTTCATTGTATAAATGTTGTTACCGTATATCTTGTTCAACTCTTGACTAAACACACACACACACACACACATATCTTGTTCAACTCTGGCAAGCATAGCTTTAGCTAGACTATGGCTAGTGATGATGATGATGAGGTTTATGGCTAATAATAAGAAAGTTAGCACTTTTAACTTTCCATTTTGAATATTATTCAGATAGCTTAGCTTCAGAAGTGATGGCTAAATAAAAATTCTCATTATTTACCCAAAGGGTGTGACCAGCAGAAGATTCCGGGATTGCATATTGCTGTTTGCTATCATTAGTTGGGGTAAGTATTCATTAAACTTAAAAATCATACAGTCAGAGCATTACAGAATTATAGTATCATAGAATAATGGAGTTTAAAGACCTATAAGGCCATCAAGTCCAACCCCCTCCTTAGTGCATGAATCTAAATCAAAGGAGATTTGACAGATGGTTGTCTAATTTTCTCTTGAATGTCTCCAGCTTTGGAGCACTTACCACCTTCTGAGTTAATTGGTTCCATTGTCACACTATTCTAACAGTTAGGAAGCCTTTTCTGATATTCAACCAAAATAATGAGCCCATTACGATATGTCCTGCAGTCTCGGATGATTGAGAACAGATCCTGTATCTTTTGTGTATGACAACCTTCCAATTATTTGAAGAGGGCTACCCTTCCTCCCCACTCCCGTTTTCTTTTCTCAAGGCTAAACACAACCGGTTCTTTCAGTCTTTCCTCATAGAGTTTGAGTTCAAGTCTCCTGATCAACCTTGTTGCCTTCCTCTGAACTTGTTCCAGTTTGTCAGCATCCTTCTGAAAATGTGGTGTCCAGAACTGGACACAGTATTCTAGGTGAGGCCTAACCAGTGCTGAACAGAGTGAAGCTAATACTTCATGGGATTTGGATACTATACTTCTGTTAATGCAGCCTAAAATAACATTTACCTTTTTTCAAGCTACATAGCACTGTTGGCTCATATCTAGCCTGTGATTTCCAACAATTCCATGCTCCTTCTCACATGTAGTATTACTAAACCAAGTATCCACTTGTGCATTGAGGTTTTTTTCCAAGGTACAGAACTTAGCTCTTATCCCTGTTGAAATTAATTCTGTCATTTTCAGTCCAATGTTCAAAGTTTATTAAGATATTTTTAAATTTTATTTCTGTCTTCCAGAGTATTAGCTGTTCCACCCAATTACTTTTCCTAAACTCAAAGTGATATTAAACAATACTTAAATCACAAACTATAAAAACAAAATGATTAACATTAAATAATGTATGTAATCATTTTATTCAAACTTGTTTTTAATGGCAGCTGAAGGAGCTGCATTTAGCACTTGAAAGGTGAAATCATTTAATATGGATGTAACATTACCCAAGTCTTCTGCATAAAAATGATCTCATGAATAGGAAAAAGGCTGGGCCCTATGTTTGCTGTGGCTTGTGTGTTAAAGTGGTAAAACTAGTGGCTTGAAGCCTATTAGAGATCTACACCATTCTACATTATTGTGTCAACTTTTGCGGCAAATTGCTTCTAATGGAAGAGTTCTGGCCACATACCAGTTGCATCTAAATATGATCAGGTGAGATGTAGAAAGAAATTACAAAAGAAATCTCAGCCAGCTGATTTCCCATTCCCAGTCTTGGGAAAGTGCTGGAGAAGACATGTGAATCAAGGAGGGAAAAGCAGCTCCTAAGGTTGCCATATTGCAACAAGAGCAAAAAGTTTAATTAAAGCAATTAGTCAGGTAGGATGCAATCAGGATGTTGCTTGCAGTCAGCTTCTAACACCAGTTTTTGCTCTGTAAGGGTTCTTGTTCCTTGTGGATGTGCATGCTTGGACTTACCATTATGGGGATAAATCACAGCTGACCTGGGAAAAGGCAAGGACTTTTTGCCAGACCTCTTTTACTGACCTGGTAGCAATTCAAAACAAAAAAGAAATTGAATATCTCAATGCTGTCCTACCCTATCACCCGAACTACTACTGGATTGGGATCCGGAAGATTAACAACACTTGGACCTGGGTGGGAACCGGCAAAATTCTGACAAAGGAAGCGGAGAACTGGGCCGTGAAAGAGCCTAACAACAAAGGGATGAATCAGGACTGTGTTGAGATTTACATTAAAAGAAACAAGGAAGCTGGAAAGTGGAATGATGAACGTTGCACTAAAATGAAGCGGGCACTCTGCTATCAAGGTAAGACAGTATCCATATTGGCTGGAACCAGTAGTAAGTAACAACTAGAGTAAGTCCTTTGAATCAGTGGGGATTTAGCTAGTCAACTCCTCTATAAGTTCCATTGATTCAGTAGGCCTATTCTAGTTGCAAATTACTACTGGATTTCCACCATTGTGTCTTCTGTTTCAACTTCTGGATACTAACAGTATAATGTCTGTACAGAAATTTAAAAAATCAACTTGAGTTTTATCAGGGCTCGGTCACAGTGGCAAAATGTCCCCCTGTGGTTATGTGACTTTTAATCGTGTTCCTGTCACATCATATTTATTCCAGGATGTGTGTCCCAATGTGTTTTTCAGTTACCAAGTCATTTCCTTCCAATTCAATAAGCACCTAGAGCTTCTTGTTGAGACCATTTGACAAAAGTCATCATGAACACTGCAGAAAAGTTAATTAAAAAAAAAGACATGAACAGTGACAGTAGTTTTAAAAAGTTGCAAAAAGATCATTCACACATGCAGGAATGCAACATTTTTTAAAAAAAGGTCTACAACAAAAAAAGTAGAAGCCTCTAGTATTCACACATGCAGGAATGCAACATTTTTTCAAAAAAAGGTCTACAACAAAAAAAGGAGAAGCCTCTAGCCAAGCAAGAAATGATCCACAGTTAGCACATGTACTGGGTAAATGATTTGTGAAGGGCTTGCTTGCCAAGTGTTTTACTGGCCCTGCTTTAGCTATTATCTTGACACCCAGAAATTAAAAACAATGAAGCTTATTCAGAGCCCCTAATGAGATGAAGATTTTTGTTGTCAAAGTACAGGAATGAAATCTGAATGATCATATGTCTGAAAACAATGTGATCTAATTTTACATAATTTTTAGCACTGGGTTGGAGGAGGGATGAATGAAGTGGGGATTTAAAACTTGAAACCTACAGTTTACCATATTTCCATTTTTTTTTCAAATATTACTGCTTGACAAGAAAAACATGAGCACAGCTTCCCATGTTGTAGCAGCAGTTTGTTCAGAAACAAGCCAGATACACTGTAATGATGATTTTGTGCCATCATCTTGGGGAAAAAGCTTGGTAAATCACAAAACAGGAACAATCTTGACCTCAGCCGGACCAAATTCTGTAGAACAAGTATGCTGCAGGCTGCCATATACCTTTAAACAGCAGTTTAAATAGGTCCAGACAAATGTTGTTCTCATGCTACATGAGGGAACAGTTGTACCTGCCAAAGTATCCTGTTCTGCACAGGATACTAAATGCAAAGCATATCTGTCCTGTGGTTGTTGTGGGTTTTTCGGGCTCTTTGGCCGTGTTCTGAAGGTTGTTCTTCCTAACGTTTCACCAGTCTCTGTGGCCGGCATCTTCAGAGGACAGCACTCTGTGCTCTG